TATTTTTGTGAAAGATTGGTATTTTGTCCTGATTTGTAGGAATCTGAAAAACGCGTTTCACAACTTGTCTCTTGTTTAGTTTTATGCGTCATTCAAGATGGCGGCCCCCATGTAGTAAATATCGTATTTATTTTAGAACCAGCTTCACCAAATTTAGGATATCTGCACATACCCTACCAATTGAAAAACTTAGATATCAAGGGATACCTCCAGAGGAAAGAAAGTGCCAACTTTGTAACAATGGGGCTATTGGCAATGAAATCCATGCACTTTTAGACTGTAACCATACTGGAATAACAAATGATCGTACTGAATTTCTGAATGCAGTTAGCATTTATAATGAAAGTATCCTTAAACTATCAAAACAACAAATGTTTACAGAAATTTTAAGTTCGAGAGATGGGTTCATTGCCAATAGTGCTAGCAAATTTATTGACAGCATTTTATTTTACTATAAGTAATTTTACTTAGACTTTAGTTATTTATGTATTTTCTTTTGTCTCGTGTGTGTACTTGTGTTTTATTATATTTAATGTCTTTTGACCACAGATAATGTAACAAAATATATTATTTAGTGTCAAATAAAATATACTATACTATATACTATACTATTTTATTATCACGTGAGCGCCAGCTGACTGTGTCCTGACCCTATAACCCCAACCCTACCATCCAGCGCGGCGATCCCCCAATTTAATTGTATATTCCCCTCGTATGGACACTTATAGTTATCTAGAGGGAGTCATATATAATTGAATTAGGGGGGGGGGTTATAGTTAGGTGGAGGTGCAAAAGGAACTCTTTCCCAAAAATATTGCACTCGTGTCTTTAAAATGGTATTCTTGCGGCGAGACCATTATGCACCCCAACAGTGTCACTTTAAGAGTAATACATTTCGAATCTTACGTTGAATATTCGACATCTTCGTCGTGGTTATTTCATTTTAAATGTTCACGCCAACACGTGTTAACTGTGTTGACAAACTGACATAGTCGTACAACACGAGTGAAACGATTTTTCCCCGAAGCAACAGCAGTAAATTAACCTTTAACAGTAGCATGCTAACTTAACCGATTTATCAACGAATATCTACCTTAGTAACAATTCAAATAACCGTCGAGACGAAAAAATTCCACTCACCGTTTTTTCTCACTGCTGGACGCCGCCATTTTGAACCATGTGGTGAATCAATAATCTGTCACAGAGGGCGCTAACACAGTGACCTGCAGTTTGTTCGCCACAAAATCTGTTTTACAATGTACATGTATTCTATATGAACTGTGGTATCACCCCGATTACTTAAAATGAAAATAATCAAGCAGTATCATATATCAAATTGAACTATGGATTTGGAAATCCATAATGCAATTCACGGAAAGGAATGGTAAAAAATCGTAAAATGTTCTGAGGAACGAGATGCCGAGGTCCAACACAAAATACAAACTGCATATACGTACATTGCCTTTTGTAACATGTTTTACAAAACATGCACGTAGCTCAATGTAAAATCCATATGTAGTATTATAAAACTGGCCGTCATGTGTGTCTTCTAAAAAATGCAAAGTACTAGTACGTTATTTGAATATTGCCAGATTAGAAAAAGTAGCATGTGCTAGATGTACATCAAACCCTGGCTTCCTCGTATGGTACAGTCTAATGAAGGATGTGATTATAAGACACATGTGGTATTCGATTACATTTAGTCATGTATTGGTCATAGTTAGCATTGGCCAGGTTTGGAATGTACTAGTATTTCGTATTGCTGCATCCAGTCGAAGAATTGTCATAGTGCAAGGAATGTACTAGACAGCATGGTCTAGGATTGGTCACCATTCGTTGTAAGATTGGTCATAATTGTTCTAGCTTTTAGTTTTTTTCTTTCAGTTCTTGAAACATTGTTTCCTGAAGTCAGTAACTGGTTGAATTTATAGTTATTGTATAGGTAGATGCCTCTATTTTGACCAGTAGCTACCACACGCAATCTCGACACTTCAAGCTCATGGTGTCTTACTTTCTTTTTCTTCTAGCTCCCTCTCTATTGCCCCGCGTTCTCTTTCCTCACGTTCGTTTTTCAACATTTCAGTCTCACGTTTGGCTTTCTCTCTTAACCCCCCTCCTCACGCTCTTTTTCTCTCTTCTCACGCTCTGTCCTCACAGATTGAATAAAACATTTCCTCCATACCGCAATTCTCTACCTAACTTCATTAACAATATCCATGCTGAAATGGTGTAATTCGATAATTTTAAATCAGCAGAAAAAATGTAGTCCAGAAAGTAGTAATGCCCATTAAATAACGCTCTGTAATGTATTGTATGGTAATTATCTAGAGGAATAACCCAGGAAATGAAGAATGTTTTCTTTAGATATACAGTGTTTAATCCTGAGCTACTGACTGACCTTGTAAGGGACGACGTCAAAAGATTCGATGTCGGATAAAAAACTTATTTCCTTTAGTTTGGGGGTGGGGG